GCATTCAGAATTGTTCCCCAACTGCACTTTACTACTATCCGTGCACTGATAAGTACTAAACCAGTTCCTATTTGGTGTAGCGTGAAAAGAACAACCAGAATCCATAATCCATCCATCAAACGATAAATCATCAATGACAGGCAAGACATAATCAGCATTATCCAAATTACCATAAGTTATAGCTGCAACATCATCCGTAGGATCAACTCTAATTCCCTTACCCTTGTCGTTCTTCAGCTTAAGGCAATCCCTTCTAAAATGCCCCCTCTTGCCACAACTCCAACAGACAATACCACAAGTCCTAGATTGACTTCGTCTATTCGAGTTCATACTACTTCTGCTAACACGTGTATCGGTTCTTCCTCTATTTTCACCTACTAAAGCAGCAGATACATGTTCACCAGATTCTCTTCTACATATGTCTTCACTTAGAATTAAATCTCGAACACCATCAAACGTCAAACTTGTCGACCCAGAGGAATTACTAACATCAGTAATAGTAGTATTCCAATTATCAGGCAATGAGGATAATAAAATCAAAGCACGTACCTCATCTTCAAAGTCAATATCAACTGAACTCAATTGATTAACGATCACATTGAATTCATTAATATGATCTGCAACTGACGCACCTTCGCTCATCTTCAAGTTAAATAGACGTCGCATCAAATAGACCTTGTTGATCGCAGAGGGCTTCTCATACATGTTCGACAGGGCTTTCATCAAACCCGCAGCGGTCTTCTCATTCACGATGTTAGACGCGACGTTACGTGCCAACGTCAGCCGAATAACACCCAAAGATCGTCTATCCAGCAATTCCCAATCAGCTTGCTTCATCGTCTCTGGCTTCTCCCTAGACAAGGGCAAGTGCAGTTTCATCTGATATAGATTATCCTCAATCTGCATCTTCCAGAAACCAAAATCTTTCCCATCAAATCTGTCGATTCTCACTTTTCCTTCTTCTACTGCCATCAATTCGCTTCAACTTAAGCAAGCTTAGCTCTGATACCAATTATTGCGGAAGCCAAGCGATCAAACAATAAAATTGACAGAACAAGAAATTAAATCGGATACCAGATTTACGTGGTTCAGTCGTAGTGACCTACGTCCACGGGGAGAGCAGCACGGAATTCCACTATAGAACAAGCGATACAACGGAGATTACAACCACACTCGAGTCACTCAAACACTTTAAGTGTTTCCCAAGCCCCAATTACACCCAATAATACACACAGTGTTTAGCCCCACAATTCCTCACGAAATAATCTCTCAATCTCGCAAAGGAATTATACACAAATTCTTACCACAAGAATTTAATTGGTTTCAACACTAACTTCATTGATGTAATTCACGAATTCCCTCTGCACGTCTTCGCACACCAAGCACTCGCAAGCCAGCGGCGCTTCACGAAGTCTTCTTCATCAACAATAGCGCATCAAGACTTCGGCACTTCAAGTCTACGTGAACAAACATCCCCTAACTTGTATTATGTGCATATATAGGCAAAAGTACACTAGAAGTGCCATAACTTGTGTACGGCGATCACTTTGGTGCCATAACTTTTTTTCGGATTACTTTGGTGCCAACTTTTTTGAAAATCGATTACTTTAGTGCCAATGCTGACGTGGCTCGCCGGAAATCCGATGTGGCGCTGACACGGCTCACCGGAGAGGTCCAGTCAGCATTAAAAACCAAAAACGACGCCGTTTAGCCCGCTGACGTGTTTTTTTTTTTTAAAAATTAAATTATATTAAAAAAAAAAAAAAACCTGCAGCAGCGGCGAGGGAGCCCTCGCCGCTGCTGCCGTCAACCCACCACCGCCGGGAAGGGCCGGCGGTGGTGGGCGCAGTGGTCGGCGAGGGTCGCCGGCCCCTAGCCGCGGCGGCCGGCGACCTTAGTGAAGAAGAAGAAGAAGAAGCTCCGAAAAATGATTTCCGCTTTTGAAGAAGCGGAAGTCATTTTCCGTAGACTTAGGCTATTTTGTGAAGGGGGAAGGAAAATATTTTCCCACGGAAAACGTTTTTCGCCCCCCGAACACCGGAAAACCCGGAAAATATTTTTCGGGAGAATATTTTCCGCCAAATGAACGAAGCCCTAGTGTACTTTTGCCTGCATATATATATTAGTCAATATATGCTGCCCTTTGCCAACTCCCACTGAAAGTTGGACTTCTGTTATTTCCTTTATTGACACATGCTGAGTTAGAGAAGGAAACCAAGTCCACTTTCCTATTTTGTTGACCAACGTTTATACGGAAATTGATTTCCGTAATCTACTGGAACTTTTGTTGGACTCAACGAATCAGCAACTTGAAATCCAAATATCCACTTTCCTTTTTGAAGTCTATTTTTCACGATCAGAATTCCAACATGGCTTTGCACTCCAAAATTGAATAGGAAATATAGATTTCGCGGTGGACATCCATAGATATTCAACTTCCAGATTTTCCTTTAATTTATCTTGGGTCGGGTTTTGTCTATCAGGCTCAAACTCGAGACATATTTTAACAATATCAACCTTCCTAGTGCATCTAGGAGTGACATTTTTCACGTGATAACCCTCAACAAGTTCACGGGCAAGCAATACATTGTCACCAATCTTTTCTACCTCCTATAAATGTCGATATCGCAACCCCACATCACATGTTTCATTGATGTAAGTGGAAGCTGTTACTTTTTTTCTCAAAACATTCTTATGAAGCTTTTTCCCCGACAAGGTAATCGTAGCATAAAACTTGGCTTGGATTTGCAATCCAACCATGCAAGTCTAAGAAAAACATGCATGTGTGTCAAGAGTTAATTCTCGTCCTAATAATGAAGTGTCCCAAACTTTTTAAGATTGTATCGGGGGGAGAGGGGAATTGCACATGAAGTGCAATCAAGTCCTCTTGATGAACAGTACCAAAAATTGCCTACATGTCTCTTAAAAAGTGCTTACATGTCGTCCTCAAACTACACTTTTCAACGTAATTTGAGTACTCGATTGCATTTTTTATACAAATTAAGGACTTTAACCAAACTGATTGAAAGGTTTAGAACTTGTGCTGCAATTTTCCTCTTGTATGGAGATTCAAACTCAATCCCTGAGTTGGCTCAACATACAAAAGTACCATTTGAACAACCAACTTAGAATTGTTTAGAATTAACTCCTTTTTTCCAATTACAGCAATTTCTAATTAGCAGATCTCGAGTTCAAACCTCGACATTTTGGTTGCAATATATGAAAGGCCGCTATCAACTGGTGCAGTGCATATCTATATGCTTTCTAGATGCGCCATTCCATCTCACGTGAACTATATTCATATATCCATATAATCACCTTTTTGTATTTAATACCTAAAGCAAACCAGTAGTAGTATTCAAATGTCTAACACAAAACTCAAGATAGACAGCGAATTTCTCAAGCGGATCTTCAACCGCATCTGAGATATATTAATTATTACATCAAAAGATGAGACCTAATACCGAACAGAGAATAAACATATGCATCTCTGTACTGGCCAAGTTGTAGAACTTTTATTTAGAAATAAAAATCCTAGGAATCTTTATTCGAATGTACACATTGTTTAGTACGATAAAATGGAGAAACGACAGATACAGAAAGCGGTACAAAATGGAATAAGAATTTCAAATGTCGAAAATGAACATGAATTAATTGAGATTCTGATCTGAATGCTTTAACTCGAATATAAAGAGTCCATCAACCAGAATCGGAATTGAAAAGCGTAATGTTAGTTGATTCCATTTCTTTTCGCTCTAGAACATCAAACATTGTTCCACTGATTTGTTCCATCCGTGAACCTGGTGTTTCCTTTTAGAATATGAAGAAAGCCACACAAAAAAAAAGGACTAGAGGAGCAACAAAACACATTTGGCGTCTATATTGGAGAATAAGTGGTGTAGTAAGTAATGTCGTTTCTCCGTTAGAGATTCTTACATAGCTTTGATAGCAAGACATACATTGAATCAATAATGATAAATATATATTAAAGGTGAGATCGATGAGTAAACATCAATATTGGGTACATAAATATTCGAAATTCAATTCATACAAAAATTGATATTATAATCCTTTGTACTTTAGAGGGAAAGAGAGAGAAAGAGAGATGCACCATGGTGGGTGGTTCTCGTGGTTGTGCAAGCGAGCGCCACAATGAGTGGCAGCCTCCCACGCCGATGGCGACGTCGACGAGAGTGGTAAAGGCAAGCAACAACGGAGTCGCGTGCTCGTGTGGGCTTGCATGTTTTCCTCAAAGTATATACGCATTTTGGTAAATCCAAATACTCTTAACTATTCTTGAATGATGTGGATGGATAAATCTTAGCCCCTTAATTATCGATTGATCATGAATCAATCATCTAAATGGATAAAATCAATATGTAAATTTATCCCTTATATTTAGAGGAGTTCAGTATATTTTGAAAATGAAAAGGAAACTGACCTATGAAATAAATAAATAAATATATTATTTCTATTCCAGGGTCTCCGACACGATTTAGATGCTTTCTTGCTGTGAAAAAGAGCAGCCGGATACTCCCAAGTAGCCCGGTTACAAACACCTAAGCAAAAGAACAAAAAGGTTGATTCTTTCGGGATAGTGTTTGAATGCCCATTGACCACCCTTTTGAACGTCAAATCCCATGTCATGACAAAACATCACATCCTCTCGCATGACATGCATGCATGCATGCCCCCTCGTCCAATTTAAATGCCTGAATAAACTCCGAGCACATAAAATACCTCAGTGGACGCACGATATTCAGACCATAACCCGAGTCCGTGATGACCAATAAATACGATCATTTGTTCTGATCGTACGCCTAACCCACGGACACAAGCCCCGTCGTCGTCACCATAACTGAAAAAAGAAAATCGAAAAGATAAATTAAAGAATAAAAAGAATGAAGGGGAAAAGGTTACATCGAGCACCACTCCAAAACAAAACCTTCTCCTTTCACACACTCCCCTCCCCGTGGCTCCGTTATAAATACAGACTACTTCGGTAGGTTGCAACAGTTCGAGAGGGTCCCTTGGAAAATAATTGTGCTTCGGAGCGTGCTCTGTCTGTCTTCAATTCCATATGCTATTTTTGTCAATCATCATCCTCTTGTTCATATCCCACCCCATGTCGCGCTGAGACTCTCCCCCACATCATATGGCATTGGCATGCACGCACAGTCATGTACAACCCCGATCCACACAACAAGAACCACCACCACCACCACCTAGTAAGCCCTAGAATCTCCTTCTCCAATGACTTCGCCGAGTCGCAATACGCGGCGAAGCAAGAGCGGAGCGCCGCCCGCGAGGCCCCGGCCTCGTCCGACTTCGAATTCTCCGTCTCGAGCTACTCGATGATGAGCGCCGACGAGCTCTTCTGCAAGGGCAAGCTCTTGCCGTTCAAGGAAAAACCAACGGCGGCGAAGGGCACCACCACCCTGAGGGAAGAGCTTCTCGCGGGCGATGAAGACACCGGCTGCAGCGCATCCTCTAGGCCTCCAAAAGGGTCAGGGAGATGGAAGGGGTTCTTGGGTTTGAGGAAGAGCCACATGGGGTCCAAGAAAGCCGATAAGTCGTGCGAGGCTTCTTTCGATAGTAAGAGGACTGCTGGTTTTGGAGTGGTTCCTGATAACATTCATCATTATCGTGGCAAGACTTCACAGGTAAAAGTAATGACAGGTCCAAGCTAGGTTTATAACATGGACACATCAAGAGAGGCGACGACTTTTCATCTTCATTTCTCCCCCCTTTTGACATTGCTTTTATGGATTTCTTGCAGGAAATGATGAGCGAGGGAGGGTCGAATGGTTGCAGGGATGAGGAGGAGATGGAGATGTAGCTTGAGTAGAGAGATTTGCTTGCAGTTCTTGAATTTGTAGAGCACCGAGGAGGAGAATTGGATTCTCGCTAATTTTTTTTTACTTTCTTTTTCTTCGGATGAAGATTACTGGAGGTCATATCCAAGATTTAGAGACAAAACAAATTATGTTCAGTGGGGTTTCCGTTTCAGTTTTTTAGTTGAATCTTGACCTTGCGGTGTCCTCCCTTTCTTGGCATCTTGCTGTTTCTTGTTTTGCTTCTGATGTTCTAAAGAATAGGTGGTCTGGCTGTTCTTTGTATAATATTATTTTTATTTTGGGAGGTCCTTTGACCCATCTTTCATGTTTTTGACCCGGACACATTCTTGTGGAAACAATCGCTAAAGAAGACATAATTAGTAACGCAAGACATCTACTAAGTACAGACATGATGTTGGAGATGAAACATTACTAGCAGTAGAGAATCAAACCATGCGCACGCCCGACCGAACATTGTCCACGTCTTGTCCTCGATTCAAATTATTCTTTTTCTCGAGAGGTTAGCATCTCTAAGAAAAATAATTTATTGGATGCCCTAGATCACATTCCCAGGAAATTACCCTTTTTCCCACCATTTATTTTAGTAACGTAAAAAGCGAACTTTGACGCAAAAGAATCGCAAGAAGACTTCGATACTTTGGGTCCATCCTCGTGGTCATCTCTCTTTTTGCGCAAGGACCTGTTCACTGCAAGCTTGCCCTTCCAAACTTTCCTTATTCTTGTTCTTATTTATTTGTTTATACTTGCCAGTGTGGTCTTCCCCTTCGATCGAGTGCATGAAATTTCAAGAAAATAAAAAGGCATTGGAATGGAAAATGGTTGAATCAATGGAGGGAGAGAGGATCAGATAACGGGACAGAGAACTTTACTTGAATTCTTTTTCTTCCTCCCCTATTTTCCAGACAATCAACAAGGACAGCTAAGCATAAAATTGGGGTGGGGTTGGTCAGAGCGGTCAGGGAGACCAGGCTTGCATGGTCAAATGCAAGTGATTTTCGATTTTTTAAAAATTGTCGGAAGAACGACCATTTATTGTCGTGGGTCGCTGCTGCTACTAGGATGCTTCGAGTCTAGTACAGTTTCAATACGGACGAAAGAAAAAATTACATATTATTAAAAAAAAAAGGACTGTTTCCATTACGAAGGGCGTGATAAAATTTAGTGCATTAAATAGATGGTAAAGATGCCACGTTAATTCGTTGGTTACTAAAAGTATCCAATGTGTAAAGTCGATGTTACATCGTACCGTCGCTGGTAATCAGAAAGAACTGTCGTGGAAAACGTTTCGGTGGTGGCTTGATTGTTCGAGCCGTGTCGTGTGTTCCGGTGAAGGAGGCAGGGGACGTGAACGAAGGGTGAATTCCCTAAAAAATCCTCAATTTTATGTCAAATCTCAAATTTATTCTGAATTTTTTTTATCTCAGAAAAAATCTCAAATTTTAGATTCAGTCCCAAACCTGTCCCGAACATTTTTTAATCTAAGAAAAACCCCTAAACTTTAAATCAAGTCCCGAATGTGCCCAAAATTTTGTTTTGTACAAAAAAAATCACCAAAATTCAATTTATTTTAAAAAATATACTTCCGTGATCCAGTCCTAAGTTGATGTGATACTTCCACGTCGATAACAAATCCACATCAGCAAAGTAATGGGGTGATAGCTACAGATTGACGTCACATTTCCACCTCGACAACAAATCCAACCCAATAAAAATTGTTGAAATTCTCCAAAAAAAACCGTTCTAGGATATGAAAGTTAGGGACAATAACAAATCCACTCCAAATTTTTTTTTAATTTAAAAAAAACCCTAATTTTAGGTTAAGTCCAAATTTGCACTGAACTTTTCTTTGTCTAAAAAAAACCCCATTACTTTGTTGATGTGGATTTGTTATCGACGTGAAAGTGCCACGTCAAGTTGAGACTGGATCACCGGGATATATTTTTGAAAATAAATTGAATTTTGGTGATTTTTTTTACGCAAAACAAAATTTGGAACAGATTTGGGACTGGACTTAAAGTTGGAGGGTTTTTCTGAGACAAAAAAAAGGTCGGGATAGATTTGGGATTGGACTTAAAGTTTTGGGTTTTTTCTAAGACAAAAAAAAGTTCGAGGCAGATTTGGAACTTAATCTAAAGTTAGGGGTTTTTTAGGGAATTAGGCCCATGAACGGAAACCTCTTCTTCTAGTGCTCCAAGATCTCGGGAAACATCGAGAGGGCGCACTCGTGGCAGGACGCGATTACAAGGAATTCGGTCCTGATGTTCGATGCGAATTCACAGGCCACACTAGTTACAAGAGACGCGAATTCACAGGCCACCCATTTCATGTGGGTCGAGCTCCTAAGATGAGTATTTTCGGTAGCTGTACAAGGTAATGACCATTTAGGGCCGAGTGTACTTGGAACCGCACAACCGGGTCTTTCCCATCTAATGTGGGACTTGAGATATTGCATGAAATGACTTTAAAACGAGATTTTTCCAAGTGGCGATCATTGTGTTGGCGCACGCGTGCGAGAGCGAATCAAACTACGATAGTTCGTCATGTGTCAAGAGGACGCGAGCTAGATAAGCGGCAACGTCATAAGGACAAGGGTTAATATCGAGCCCACTATATAAAAGGTTGAGTGGGTGGCCTGCATTAGGACTTTCCTACTGAGGCCACTGTGAAGTTTGAACCCATCTACCCAACATATATATCTACCGAGCTAGGTTAGGTCCGCTTAACGCCAAGCAGGAAGAAAGCACCAAAAGCAGAACTAATTAGCTATTGTTGCAAGTTAAAAAAAAAAGTAACTGAATAAAGCAAAATGTTGTAACGAGTATTGCTTGTGAGCATTGTCCCGGTCCAACCCGAAAATCGGATCGGACGGTTCTCCCAAGAACCAGACTAGTGGAATTATATAAACCTTGGTTTAGTTCTTCTCACCGGTTCAAATTTATCCACACTTCTTTTTGGTAGATTCTGAGTTTTCCCAAGTTAAATTCATTGTCAAGGTCAAGAGATGCGGTTTACACAAGTTATGCTGGAGAATTGGCTTAACGTTTGCCAAGCTTCTTCAATTAACTAAAGGATAAATTCTTGGTAGCTGCATAAGTACTGCCTTGCTAAACGACAATGAGACTTTTTCTGATAGCCTCTAATAACTTATGGTTACGTGTGACTTGCTCAGAGTGTAACATTACAAAAATTTGTGCATGTATTAGAATAAACAAAAAGAAAATTTACAAGCAGTCCTAGTCCAACTCGGGAACTAGATCGGGACTGACCGGTCCAGTCTGATTCCTGGATGGACAAGGTCAATTCCTGATTCCATGAGTTGGGAATCACCCCGGCCTTATCTGGTTCCCGATTCCAAGATAGGAATTGACCAATTCTAGAACCGATCAGTCCTAGCACCAACATGTAGGATAGTCATGTCTAACTCTGGAACATGATTATCAATATGATAAATGAAACACTGATCTTTTTCATGCATTCCAACGAGCACTTTACATGCATAAGTAGTGTGAATTATGCTTGTCGCAAGTAAAAGGACTAGCAAGATAATGTGAGCGCTAAGCTCCTCTTCGCAATAAAAGTTGCGTGGCAGCCCCGTGTATTAATGGCCAAGATGGATTAGATTAAATGTTGTATTTTGATGGCTGGAGCCTGCATGGCATGCGAGGCTCGTTTCTTTGTTACTGGGAGTGTGCGGCTCAAGTTGACGAGCCCAGATTCTTTGCATTGTAGATGTGCGAGCATTGTCCATTTGATAATCCATCGCCTCACGAGCCAACCTTAGAATTCAATGCGTGGTGGCCCTGAAGAAATCTGTAGATGGTTTACTTTGAGTTCCCTCTACAAGTGGTACATGAGTTGCTGAAGTTAAGGGTCATGTCACATGGACAACTTTGAGGAGTTTGAAACATGATTCTGTAGTTTTAAAAGTTATCCAGGCGTTTTGAAATTGATATGTTAGGTTCAGATTCTGTAAGCCCTTGGACCTCTTGCGCTTTGTCGTCTTACCTAGCCGACGACCAAATCATGTCCGGGCCAGCACGAGAGCCAAGCTGGTCGATTGCGTAAATGAAGCATATTCACGTCGATCACATGTTTAGCTACTTTTTTTTTGTTAATCCAGCTAAGAAAACCTGAGAGAGAGAGAGAGAGAGAGAGAGAGTCTAACCTACATTCACAAAAGTTTCCTAGACAGTCACTCAAATATGTTTCCTAGATTGATGATGAAGGGCTACACCTACATTTTTAATCGGTGGATGTACAAACATGGTACATAAAACACAGAATTACAGAGAACAAGAAACGCAGAAGGGAGTCATTACCATGGGGCAGTTACTTCTTCCTGGAATTTCAGTTCATAGCTCTCGACTTTCGGCTTCAGGCACTCGATTTCTGCGCCGACCCTTTGATTCTCTTCCTTCAATTCCAAGAGCCTCATCTCCAGATTTCTAATCTCCTCATCTGTGCAGTCTCGCTTTCTCTTGGAATCAACGTACCTTTGCGTCTCCGTAGCCATCTCTGACTCGAAAGCAAGCTCCACAAGCCGTTTCAGCCGAGCACGCAGGAACCCGACGTTCATGCCCAGGATTTTGAAGGCCTTCAAGGTCTTGTCCCAGGTCTCAAACTCTTCTCGAGTGGTAGTGAGCTTGCAAGCCCTCACCGCATCAGCCACGTTGACGGTTTCGCATATAGTGCCGACAATCAGTTTATAGTTCATGCCCCTGAGGAGATTCTCGTGGAGAAACACATTCTGACTAAGGCAGAGCTCATAGTACTTCCTCAGGATGTCTTCAGAGAGCTCCGAATTGACAACCATCCCATCTATCGCAATGTGGAAATTGGAGAAAGTGTCCACATCCTTAAATTGGATATCCGGCAGAGATAACTTGAAACCTTCTAAGACTTCTGAATTTACGCCTTCACTATCATTTTCGGATTGCTCCGCTAAACATTCTGGGTTAGGAGTTAACTTTCGCTGGTTGGACTTTCTTTTTCTTTTCTGCACAATGGCTAACGGCAGCGAACTTGCTCGCTTCCTCCTTGGTTGTCTAGATGACGCTTCAGGGTTGGTGCCATCTTCTGTACATTCATTGTAGCACCGGCAAAGTATGCTTAGGAAACAATAGAAACAAAGCAAAGACTTACAAAAGTCGCAGACTGATGAAGAAAGAGATAGAAGAAAACACTTGCCTGCTTCAACCTTTTTGGTAGGGGCGTCCAGATTTAGGAGGCCAAGTGCCCCATCAACTTCAGCAAAATTTCCTGCCTTTATTATGTAAACCTGCA